CGTCCGATGTACCTCCCTCCACACACACACACACACACACACACTCTCTCTCTTCTCTCTCTCTCTCTCTCTCTTCTCTCTCTCTCTCTCTCTCTCTCTCTCCCTCTCTCTCCCCCTCTCTTCTCTCTACCTTTCTCTCTCTCTCTCTCTCTCTCTACCTTCCCTCTCTCTCTCTCTCTCTACCTTCCCTCTCTCTCTCTCTACCTTCTCTCTCGCTCTCTCCCCCCCTCTCTCTCTACCCTCTCTCTCTCTCTCTTCCTCCCTCTTCTCTCTCTCTCTCTCTCTCTCTCTCTCTCTCCTCCCTCCTCTCTCTCTCTCTCTCACCTTAATCGCTCGCGCTGCTCCCCTCACGATAATTCGCTCGTTAGCGACAAACCGCCTGACGGGTCGGCGCAGCAAGCCGACACACGCCGCATCAAAGGCACCGCCGGGCGGCACCCTCTCATCAACGATTGTCGCGAGACAATGGCGCCATTGTCGTCGAACAACGCCGCGCGATTACACGTGTTTGCTCCTCCGTCGCCCCGGCGACGTCCCGTTAGACGGACGCCGTCGGCCCGCGGGCGGGGCACGGCCCGCGTGGCGTCCCGGCGCCGGCGCCCGTCTACGTCGGTGGGCGGAGCCGCGGCGCGGGGAAGCCACCAGGCGGCAAATTGCGGCGGATCGCGAGTTTTCCGCCTTCGGCCATTTAATCTCAAAAAGACGCCGCCGCCGCCGCCTACGCCGCCGCCTCTCGAAGCCTCGGCAAAAGAAAATTGCGGGCGGCAAATCGGCGCAAATCGATCGCGGGCGGCGCGGCGCGGGAGGCCACCATCGCCGCCGCCGGCGCGACGCATCCCCCCGCAGAGCGCGCCGGCGATGCGCCGCAATTTGATTCGCCGGGCCGCCGCCCGCCGCGCCGACATCAAAGACGCGCCGACCGCAATTTGGCGCGGGGGCAATTTCGCCGTCGCCCGATCTCAATATCGCTTTGATTGTTCGATTGCTCGCCAGCGAAGAGGACGGAGCGGGGCTTCCGCTCGTCTGCGCGAAACAAAGGAGCGTGCGCGTCACGTGACCGCGGGGCGCACGCGCGCCGAGTCGAGTGGCGGGCGGCGGGAACCCGCGCACAAAGGGACGCGGAGAAATCCGCCGCCGCGGGGAGGCAACGTCGCAACGCTGCCGTCGCCGCCGCCGATGGATGATGATGACAAGAGAACTGCTGATGATGAGAGAGCGGGACGCGCGCGCGTTCGATCGGCCGGCCGACACGCGGCGCCCCCTGATTGCGAGTGGCGTCGACGGGAGAGGCGAGCGGTCGCGCTGTAGAATCCGCGCCGCGGTCGATGCGGGATGCCCGCCGGCGCCATCTACATTTCATCGGAGCGTCGAGTGGAGTTCGAGCAGCGGCTGCACTTACTCGTCTCCCGTTTCTCGTTTGGTTTCCTCTTCGCGCGTTCTGCCGGAGGCACCGCCGAGGTCGAGCCGGTGAGTGGCGCCACCTAGTGTCCGCAGCAGCCTCTTGTTCGATTGTCCTCGGAGAACGTGGCGCCATCTGTAATATCGAGTCACGCAATGTGTAGTCGAAATGTCCGGATGATCTTATGTCATCGCAGTGCCGCGACCGAACGTGGATAATGGCAACACGTGGCCCACCGTGGACACGCACATCTACAATTGAACCGCCTATGATGTGTAGCGCCACTGGACATAGAGTGTAAGAATTTGCCTGTGTCTCTTAATCAACACATTATACGATCGGGGAAGGCCGCCCGGCTCCGCAATTGACGGTGTCCGCCACCTAGTGTCCGATGCTAGCACAAGCGACACGTGACGCCACCCTAAAATCGAAATGCTGGCGGGAGCAACACGTGTCGCCACCTAGTGTCCGAATACCGGAACGAGCGACACGTGTGTACGGACTAGTGTCCGAACGCTTACCGAGAGAGCTAATTGTGGCGCCACCTTGGTAACCAATCTCTTAATGTCGGCGACCCGTGGCGTCAACCCCCATGGTATCTACCTAGCAATGTGGGGCGACTCGTGGCGGCCCACCGGCCGTTGCCTGTCCCGCTCTCGCGACCTTTTCGCAGCGCCCTACCTAATCGTCGTCGCCTCGCAACGCCGATAACGCTGGCGGGGCAGGATCTGATTCGGGCGATCTCCGGCGGTACCGCCGCCGCGCCGCCAGATACGCGCGCGGAGCGGAAGGCGAGAGAAACACGGGCGGACCTGCCAGAGCGTTCGCCGTCCCCGGGACGCAGCGCGTGATGGTACATTATGCCGGGATATAATTCAGGAATAAATAATGAAACGTTATACGAGCGAGCATATCGCGTCTCTCTCTCGCTCTCTCCTCGCTCTCGGACGAGAAGCCCGGGGCGTCTAGCCTCGTCTTCGTTGCGCGTCGCGCGCGTCATCCCTCGAGAAGGGCGCCAGACGGAATTACGTTCGAATCAAATTCGCACGGCTGGGTCCGTCACACATCGCAAGAGGGAATCATGGGCGGATAATAAAGAGAGGTGGGGTGGATGGCAGGAGGCGGAAGCCTAGCAGGAGAGGCGGGAGGGGAAGGTGTAGGGGGAAGGGCGGAGACAGGGGAAGAGGGTGGATGGCAGGGAAGAAGAAGCTAAGCGGAGAGGGGGAAGGGGAAGGGCTGGGGGGAAAAGTGGGAGGCCAGGGGAAGAGTGAGCGGTGGATGGACAGGGAGGGAGGAAGCTCATAGCGGGAGTAGGGGGGGAGGGAAGGGTAGGGTGGGAAGAGAGGAGCAGGGAAGAGGGTGGATTGGAGGAAGAAGAGCATAGCGGAGGGGCGAGAGAACGGGTGCGAGGGGAAGAGGGAGGCAGGGGATAAGAGGTGGAATGGCAGGCAGAGAGATGCTAGGCGGAGGGGAGGGAAGGGTAGGGGGGAAGGAGGGGAGGCAGGAAAGGGGAGGGTGGATGGCAGCGGAGGGGAAGATAAACTAAAGGGAGGGGAGGGAATAGTAGGGAAAGGTAAAGGAGGGGAGTGGGGCAGGGTACATCGAGGGTGGATGACAGGGAGAGAGGGGAGGAGAAGGAGGGGGAGGAAAGCAAGTGAGGGGGAGAGAGAGGTAGGAGCAGGGAAGGGGAAGGTAGGGGGAGGTGAGGGGAAGGTAGGTAGAGGGAAGGGTAGAGGAGGAAGAAAGGGGGAAGGAAGAAAGGTGGAGGGAAGGGAGGGGGAGGCGAGGGGAAGGTAGGTGGAGGGAAGGGTAGAGGAGGAAGAGAAGGGGAGGGAAGAGAGGAGGAGGGAAGGTAGGGGAGGGGAAAGGAAGCTTTATTGTTATGCTGGCTGATCGATGCCACACCATCACACTGCCATGTCAAATACTTTATTTTTCATTCCATGCAACTTTCTCTATTCAAGTGATGCAACAACTTTTGGAATATATACACAATATAATCACATGTAATCCTTACTGTTTACTGACGTACAATATCACCGTGCAAATGTACATTCCTGTGCATGTGTTTGTTGTGCACGTATATGTACATGTACACGAACTCTGGCGGAGTAGTGTGCAGATTTGAATATCTGAAGATTTATTACATGGACCCTATGCACCCACTCGCATGTGAGAGCTGAGGGATCACAAACCTCAAATAATTAAAAATTTAAACGAATAAAATTATTGTGTAGACATACGAATAACTCAATTTACATAGATCATTATTAGATGCACTGTGTCAGTGTGTGTAGACACAACCTATAAGTATAACATGTAAGAATGCTTTTCCACAACTGCCTCTAACCGCATAATTCCTACCACAACTTCACGTTATTAAAAAATAGGGTTCCGTGTTTGTTACCAAGGCAAGGCCTGTGGGTGTTTACCAGGGGCTGTTCGATCTTGGTCAAGGTGACTTACGTCACTTAGGTGTTTACCAATCCTGAGATTTTACAAAACAAATGATATGGTTATCAATCAAACTACTACAACATGACTGAGCGTTACTCAACCCCCCAAAAATTACATCACACAAAACTGCACACATATATATTTACCTGATAACACTAGGTATGGTAAAATTAGACTAATACTAATACTACTAGTAACCTTTCAAACAGGCACTGCTGTACAGTTTAGCTCGTTGCTAACCGCGCGTCTGCTGCTGGAGGTCATGACCTCGCTTCCAACCCCCCATAATGCACCGCGAGAATATACTGATGTCCCGTAGAAATAACCTCATAGAAGTCGCTTATCAGTTATTACACACCGCACACACGCGCACACACACATCACACACACAGCATGGCACCAACACCACACAGCACCTCACACACACACACACGACCGCACAGCAAGCACGCACACGACACGCGCACACTACCACACACGCCTCACACTCTGCAAGCAACACAACACACACACACACGGCATCACACGCGCAGCACACATCACACACTAACTACAGACCACACACGCCGCACGACATCACACACACACGCACACACACACCACACAACAACACAGCGAACACACAACACAAATAACGACACACAGCACACACACATCAAACACATACATCACACGCGCACACACACACAGCGCGGCCACCGACGACACGCCACACACACACACAACATCGACATCACTACACATCAGCACACGCACACATACATCGCGCGCATGTCACACACACACAGTCATACATTCGCGCACTAAGGCGCACATACTGAGTGGCCACAAGCGGCACACCCAGCACACACACAAACACACACAACCCACGACGCAGCTACAACATTCCACGGTAAAGCATTAACGCCTAAGCCTAACCTTAGCTCACTACGTGCGCAGAGAACAGGTGGCGCCC